GTTTAAATGCATTCAACTACATAGGACATTTTAGTTACAATTAGTCGATCACTATAATTTCTATCACATATAGTCATATGCTTGAATGACTTGAAGTTGAGTCTCCATCAGGAATAGATTTTTCACCCTTAATGTGTTCTTATAAGGTTTAAATGATACATCAAATATAAATTTAAACGGAAATTGTCACGAGTCATATTATTAATCATACACCTCTTGTATATTTCCAAAATATATGTATCATTATGACAAAATCTTATCTTAAACCATTGTTATAGATAACACTTCCATGAATGAAGACATCAGCCAACAAGATCATAAGTTTCATGCTCAGATCTTTCGTAAGTTTCATGCTTCCATGACTAGCAAGCATCAACTGCTTTTCCCAACAAAATAACGAATTAACACATAATCTAGAAAGTGTTTTAGCCAACAAAATATTATCATAAACCATTGTTATAGACAACACTTCCATAATGGAAAACATCAGCAAACAAAATCATTAAGTTTCATGAAGTGCTTTACCCAACAAAATAACAACTTAACACACAATCTAGAAAGTGTTTTACCCAACAACATAATATCTTTGACGATGCGGCTTATCTGCTGCTCCTTTGAGTGGGCTAAATTGGATGAACAGACCTCTGAATCCTTACCAGTTCTTTTGCCACATCGATTATGTATGGCCTATCCGCTTCTCTTTCAACAGTACATCTCAAAGCAAGTCTCCAGAAAGCCTGCAATTGATGCTCTATTTCGCCGCTCCCCTCTAAAATGATCGGGTCCAAAATTTCACTCAACACATTCTCGTGGTTTTGTACATACTCCACTAAAGGAGTATATTTATGATCTACTTGGGAAAGGCCACAACCAGCTAAGAGTTCAAGGAGAATAATTCCAAACATGTAGACATCGACCTTCTCTGTGATAATGCCACTTGTCAAATAGTCGAAATCAAGATAATTTGTCGTCCCTACAATAGTATCTACTTCCACCTGTGATTCTCCTGGAGGCAATGCTATGCAGAATGAGAAATCGACAAGCTTAGCAACACCATTACTGTCTATGACGATGTTTTTGGTGCTTAGCTCTCTATGGATGATAGGTGTGGGAAATGCAGTATGAAGATAAACAAGAGCATTTGCAACGTCTCTTGCAATTTTTAGTCGATTACTCCAAGAGAGTGATCGACCAATATTATCCCTTTCTTCCCTACTATGAAGAAGGTCATACAGAAGTCCATAATTGATCCCGATTTCATAGATAATAGCAGGAACTTTCAAATCTAAGCAGCAACCCAAGACCTTCATAACATTTTTGTGGTGGTTCATCAGCACCGTGACTACTATGTCGTTGACAGCATAGGACGCCCATTTGTCTCCGTTACCAAAAAAATGGAACTTCTTCACCAGAATAGACCGTTGCTGAAAAATGCCGCAGATGTAATAGCCCGTTAAATCACGCATAACATGTCTAAAATCACTATAATGTAGACTAGGGAAATCGACGTTTGTTGCTTCATTAAGTTCTTCAACGGTAAAGATGCGATAAGGAATATTATACTTACCATTAGAGGAAGCAA